GATGCACCAAATACGATATGTATGCTCGATTCCAATGAAATTTGGAATGTGTGACGGAAATCGATCAGAAAATAAATTAGTCGAATTATATTGAAATCTGTTCAGATTTGGATATAGCTCCCATATATATATATATATATATTTATTTGCGGCCGATTTCACATTTTTGATGCACCAAACACGATATGTATGTCCGATTCCAATGAAATTGAAAATGTGTGGCGAAATTTAGTACATAAATAAATTGAAATCGGTTGAGATTTAAATATAGCTCCCACATATATTTTCGGCCGATTTCACATATTTGATGCACCAAACACCAAACATAATGTGGAATATAAATAAATAAATATATATATATATATATATATATATATATATATATATATATATATATATATATATATATATATATATATATATATAAATATATATATATATATATATATATATATATATATATATACATATATATATATATATATATATATATATATATGTATATATATATATATATATATATATATATATATATATATATATATATATATATATATATATATATATATATATATATATATATATGTATATAAATATATATATATATATATATATATATATATATGTATATATATATATATATTAGTACAAAGAAAAATTAAATTATGTTGAAATCAAGGCATGATGTAATTTGGTCCAAAAATAAATTTTGTAAAACTATATTGAAATCGGTTTAGTTTGGGATATGATTGTGTCCCACAACGCCTTTGCTGTGGTATTAGGCTAACAGTAAAAAAACTATACAAAAATTTACTTGAGGATACGATTATTATGGGGAAGTATGTTGCTACCTCAAATTCTCTAAGAACAACAAAAAATCCACTCAATTTTTGCTATGAAATTAATAAATCCGAAGGACAAACTTTTCGTGTATCCGGACTAAATTGGCAAGTTCCTGCTTTTCTAATGGACAGCCATGCCTGGCATGTTCACGCCTTGGTAGACCAAGAGATTTGTTTGTTTACGCATTAAAGTCTTACAATAAATAGGTTTTTTAAATTCTTGAATTTGTTTTATTTTTTTTTTAAACCACAAAATATTCGTATATAAAATTTCAAATATAAAATCAAAAGGGGTAGCGAAGCGCACCGGGTTAAGCTAGTAGTATATAAAACTTTGAAGAGTTGTTATCAAACTAAACAAAATGTGAATTTTGAGTAGTAAAAAGGCCTAACACGAACTCTTCAAACAAATCTAAAGTGTTAAGGTGGGCTTTTTGCTGACGAAATAGCGGGCCCTCATGCTAGTTCATTATAAAATCTCTCTACTTTCCATTTTTCTGCGTCTCATGTTTTTAAACAACAAAACATCTAGTTGTTAAGTACTCTCCAAAATTGGCATTAAGAACAAATACAACAGGCATTTTAGGTTATTTTATGTTTTTGTTGCCGGTTGAGATGTCAGCTTAAATCAAGTCATTGCAAAACTGTCACAATTGCTTTGGCAAGTCCATAAAGGAAAATGGGCCCGTATGCCATGTGCGCTTGTTGATTATGAGACCATTTGGCAACGGCAGGTGTTTCGTAATTATCGCATGAGCAGACAGGCGAAGGATACGATGATGGTATCGCAATACATGTGTCAATTATTTTGGACTTTTTTTGCATGGCAATATTGGCAAATAGAAAATGAAAATGTCTTTGAAATGCAAATAGGATTACGAAGGTATTTTGTGAATACTGTTTTAAGATAACGTTTTGTTTTGTAAATTGTGATGTAAGTCGGCTTAAAGAGTATGAGGGAGGGATAATTTAATTTAACATTTGGGACAAAAATGAAGTATTCAAAAAATATCTTAATGGTTATGTTAATGGTTATGTTGTCGGTTATTATGGCTATTATGAACTCACTGAAGTAGTTAATAATATACTAACAAGGATTATATTTCTATGACATCAGCATATTAAAGAAATTTGTCAATAATATATTAGTAAGTAGTTGAGACTGCTTATAATTAACCCATTGTTTGGCAATCATACTTTTCTGGGCATGATTCACAATTACATTAGCTTTACATCAAGTCGATTACATTGTGCGACAAGATTAGATTTTTACTACTTTTATAAAATGTGAAATAAGAGTCTAATTATCTTCAAATGACATACATTCAAATATTTTTACCAGCATAAGATCTGATGTGAAGATGGATTGTATCGGTTTACTCCTTCTGGTACCTCCCTCACAATGGGCCAAAATTTTAAATATCCATGAAGCGAAATGCATCCGATTCCTTTCAAACTTGGTACGTCGTAATGTTTCTATCACTACAATATATGTTATAAAGATGGAATATATCGGATGACTCCTTGTATTAACTCCCCCACAAAGGGTTAAATTTTTAAATAACAAATTCTCTTCAAATTTCAAACTTTTCGAAATATTATCAAATATCTCATAAAAAGTTAAGGAAGTACTTGCTATAGTCTTAATCTGACAAGTTTTAATTTTTACATAAAATTTATGTCATGCGATATGGACAATCCAAAACCAATCCTTTGAAACGTCTCCTATGAAGGGTCAACAGTTTGCATAATCTTAACGCAAGTCGAGATATATTTAAATAACCGACTATCCAAATCGAATCAAAATCTCCTTTTACAGGGTGAAATGAAAAAAACTGCAACCAACTTCAAACTGCTGTCATTTCTAAGCCACTCGTTCAACCGTTGTTGAAATTATTCCAGTGACAGGTCATTATAGTGTTTACATTTTTGTGAGAATTTTCCAGAAAAAAAGTTATTCGTGATGGAATTCAAGCGTGATAGTTTGATTTAATATTTGGCTGGAAAACCACAAGTGGCTATCGTTAGAGCACCCCAGTATTCAAATGTGAATAATTTTTTTCTCGTTACCGTGAAACTGATAGCGTAGCCCGACGTCAAGGAAGTGGACGGAAGAAAACAGCAACATCAGGTCAGAGGTCAGCTGAAAATTTGCACCTTCGGTTGGCCACCAGAACTCAAGCACCGGCTATGGTGATGGTGTGGTCCGCCATAACTACGGATGGTCTCTCTCCGCTCGTATTAATCGAGCATGGTAACAGAATAAATGCCGAATATTATCGCGAAAATATTCTGGAGGGTGTATTCAAGCCATGGGTACGCATACAATTTGGCCAGAGACCTTCAACACTCCAGCAGGACTCAGCGCCATCACACTCAACACGCGCTAACCAAGAATAGTTACACAATGAGGGTCCTCGATTCGTTTCCAGCGCTTCGCCGGGAATGGCCCAAAGTACCGCATAGCAACATTCGGACAGCGTGTGGGAGTTTCATTGGCCGCTTGAAGGCCATAATTCGTGCCAAAGGCGATCAATTCGAACAAATCTAAACTTATTGGAAAAATTGATGCTATTTCCGACATTTTCCGCTTTAATTTAATAAAATTAAAAAAAAAATGTAAAAATTATGGCGTTTGACTTTTTTGCAGTTTTTTTATCTCACCCTGTGTATATCATCTTCAAAATAGATCTTGCGTTTGCAAAATGTTCCAATATGTAAAATTTGAACAGTTTTGTTTTTAAAATTTTTGACCTCTTGTGGAGAAGGTACCAGAAGGAGTGAACTGATTTTGCCCATCTTCGAACTCGATCTAAGTTTGAACCTAATATTTCGATGTACACTTTGGGTCAAATCTGATACTCCCTTCGAGACAGACGGACGGACATCGCTAGATCGACGTTGTCCTGAAACGGGATTGGTTCAGAAATACCTAGGATCTAAAATCGTTATTTCGATGAGGCACGGTTTGGCTGTATTAAATGATATATACCCTCTGTAGCCACATGGCTGAAGGTATAAAAAGAACCAATAGAGCCATTCCTGGCTTGTTTGAGGGCTAACATTTTTGACCATGGTATTGCTCGTGTTTTTATGTACAACATTGACGACGACGTTATGTACTTAAAACAAACGAATACCGAGGAACCTGAAATCTGAAAATTTCGAAAAGTGTGGAAGAAGCTCTACTTTAATAATCAGCTGAATTTTCCCCAATCTACTTCATTTCGTTCGGAAGCTAGAGTGATTTCCACAGGCATTCAATTTTATGCTGATATGTATATATATATATATATATATATATATATATATATATATATATATATATATATATATATATTGTCTGCGCAGGTCCACGTCTTCGTATATCCCAGATATAACGGTACCTCCCGATATTCGGTATGTTGATGATTTTAGCTACATTATCCACCCGAATTGTTTCAAATTTGGTAATTGAAGTTCGAAATGAATACTGCAGCCTATGACAGAAAATTGTCTGTGCAGGTCCATATTTTGGTATAGACCCATATAATAGTACCTCCCTATATTGATGATTTTAGGTATATAATTTAACGATTTTTTTCTCTTTTCAAGATTCGCATTGGAATATTGTAATGGCTTATGACAAAAGTTGCCTATACAGCAATTGCACCTACATTTTGTATTTTTAAGATTTTAACAGAATTTTTAACGGATTTTATTTTTTTTTTTAAATTGCTAAGTTCGATCCAAATGCTGGAGGGCCGAACTTACTGCTTTTTTACATGTCTTTGAAATCAACAACATGACATGCGAAAACTCGGAGCACTATCATAATATTGACAAATCAAATCATCACGATCAAATTTTTACGATGTGCGAAAGACCATTAGTGGTCTTTCACTACGGCAAATAAAATAAATTCTAATTCAAATCTAAGTTTGTACTTGATGCAGATAATAATACTTCTGAGGTCTTCTATGGCTAGAATATATATTTAAGGTCTTTAATGAATGAACATTTTCCTTCTCCATTAGTCAAAACATTTAATTACCTCACAAAACATTTTAGTTACTTTTAATGTATCCTTAATGATACTAAGCACCCTTGTTATATTTCTAATAATATTTACAAAAATCCCATAAAAAGTTAACTACCAAAAACCACTTAAGAACTTACCTTACTAGTCCATCCTCAGCACACTTCTTTTTCTCGTTACGGTTAATTAAATTGTCGTAAAAAATATTCTCCACTTAATCCAATGACCATTTACAATTGTTTATTAAAATTTCTTTCTCCTAAGCGAAACTGCAAATAAACAAAACGAGGGTAGAGAGAAATGAAATCAAATTAATTAGACTGAAAAAATGAGGTTGAAATTGTTTACAATTTTTCATAATTTTTGTTTTTATTTATAAATATTTAATTTTTTTTTATTTCAACTCTGGATTTGAAAATGAAAGTAATTCTTGGGAATGTTCAAAGCACTTGAATTGTAAATTCTTGCATAATTCATTGATTAATCAGTGGCGAAAGTTGCTTTTGAGAAGGCCATGTTGAAAATTTACTGAAGCATGGCGGAAAGCCTTTCTTGGAAGGATGGTTGAGAATTACTTTTCGGAGAAAAAGCATCGCATAGTCTCAAGTGTTTACCATTTATATGTTGTGAATGTTAAATTAAATGCAATTTAGAAGATGGCAGCGAAATCTTCCGACATATTTATACCCACAGCCTATGACCTAAAAACGGTCAGTATAATTTTGGTGTAGAACTAGAGTTAAACAATATGATAAAAGTCCTTATAGATTTCATGTATGCATAAAAATGTATTAAAGGTCAAAGGTCAATATTTTCATGTTTTTTTTCTCCAAAACCATAAGTTGTAGATTATTGATTCGCAATAAAAATGATTTTATTGATTTTATATTCAAAATCCGGCATTATTTGTGGGGAAGGACAACAAATATGGACCCATTTTCGCACCCAAACAAAGTCTGCTTCAAATTTGACCTTGTGAAAATTTTCAATAAAATCGGTCAACCCTGAAAAAAGAAAAAATTACCTTTTAACCATAAAGAAAAAGTCAGATGGGGTTGACTTTACGACTTTATTTACGCCACTATGTGTATTCAAGAGAGCTCCCGCGACAAGAAAATGTATATTGGAAATTTATGTGAAGTAGATCATACCAATTGTGAACCAAATGACATTGATGTATAGTGCATGATTTACTTCGATAAGGATTATAGTAAAAAATATTTATTGGAGCAATAGATATACGGGACCAAGTTTCACCAAATGGTAAAATTCGGATGCATTTGACAAAATATATTCAATTTGGGTTCATATTACATATACCGGGTGAGATTAATAAACTGCAGCCAACTTCAGACTGCTGCCATTTCTAAGCCACTCGTCCGACAGCTGTTAAAATTATTTCAGTGACAGCTCATTATATTGTTTACCAGAGTACAAAAGCATGTGAATAAATATTTTGTGTCTCGTACCATCGCTCGTTACCGTGATACTAGTAGAGTAGCCTGACGTCAAGGAAATGGACGGAAGAAAACAGCAATATCAACAGAAATGGTTCGAAAAGTAGAGGAGCGAAAACCGCGTCGCATTGGTCGAAAAATGGCTCGTGAGCTGAATATATCGCAATATTCCATTCGGCAAATATTGAAAAATTAGCTCGGGGTAAAGCCATTGAAATTCCAAAAAGTGCAGGAACTTACACTGCAACAGAAAGAAAATACACTCAAAAAAGCTAAAGAGTTGCTTCGTTTGGCCGAAAGTGGTGAACTGCCGAATTTGGTTTTCTCCGATGAGAAAACAGTCGTTGTCCAGCAGTTTGTAAACAAACAAAATGATCATGTCTACTTGCCAAAGAGGTCAGCTGAAAATGTGCACCTTCGGTTGGCCACCAGAACTCAAGCGCCGGCCATGGTGATGGTGTGGGCCGCCATAACAGCCGTTGGTCGCTCTCCGCTCGTATTAATCGACATTGGCATAAGAATAAATGCCGAATATTATCGCGAAAATATATTTTGGAGGGTGTATTAAATAAAGCATGGGGTACGCAAACATTTTGGTCGCATATCTTGGACATTCCAACAGGACTCAGCACCATCGCACTCAGCGCGCGCCACCCAAGAATGGTTACAAAATGAAGTTCCTCGCTTCATTTCCAGCGCACAATTGCCACCAAAATCTCCTGATACCAATCCGTTGGACTATAGTGTCTGGAGTATTTTGGAAAGCAAGGTTGGTACTATGAAATACCAAAGTTTCGATCACCTCAAGCAAGCGCTTCGCCGGGAATGGGCCAAAATAACGCAGAGCAACTTTCGGACAGCGGGAGACGGTTTCATTGGACGTTAGAAGGCCATAATTCGTGCGAAAGGTGACCAATTCGAACCAATCTAAACTTATTCTAAAATTTAATGCTATTTCCGACATTTTTTGCTTTCATTTAATAAAATTTAAAAAAAAAATAAAAATTATGGCGTTTGACTTTGTTGCAGTTTTGTATCTCGCTGTGTATAGGTTCACGTTTTTGTATAGGCCCCGTATAACAGCACCTTCCAAAATTCCGTATTTTGATGATTTTTCCACATCTTTCCACGAATTTGTTTGGAAATTGGTATTTGTAGTTCGTAATGGGTTCTGGCTCTGGTGGCGGAACATAGTATATATACCACATTTTAGTAGAACCCCCACATAATGGTACCATGGATATTGAATATTTTGATGGTTTTTGACACATTTTTCCATGGATTTGACTAAAAATTGGTATTTGTAGTTCAAAATGGGTTCTCTGGCGGGTTCTCTGGCGGTAGAACACTAAAAATGTAGGTAAACGTTTTCCCATATCTCACATATAACGATACCCACCGACTCTCGGTATTTTGATAATCCCAGGCACATTTACCCAGGGAATTGTTTTTTGTTTTAGCATATTTGGTAGATGACAATCCTTGAGGTATAAAATTGTCTATGGAAGTTCCAGTTTTGGAATGCCCCCATATAACAACCTCACCCACATTATGTTTTTTGATAAGTTTAACAGCAAACGGTCTTACTTGTTTTTTTGCGTAGTTTAAAGTGCAATACGTTTGAATTCAGACACTCTAATATAAAAATATTTTCTTTACCCAAAGGTGGAGGGTTTTAAAAGTTCGGACTGCAGGACTTTTGGTATTGAAAATGGGCCAGGTAGATCCACGTTTTGGTATAGGCCCAATATAACGATACCTCCGATATTCAGTATTTTTATGATTTTCAAATTTGGCATTTGAAGTTTGTAATGGATACAATAGCCTATGACAGAAAAGGGTCTGTGCAGGTCCACGTCTTCGTATAGCCCCCATGTAATGGTACCTCCCGATATTCAGTATTGTGAAGATTTTAGCGACATTATTCACCGGAATTGCTTCAAATTTGGCATTTAAAGCTCGTAATGGATATTACGGCCTATAATAGCAAATTGTCTGTGCAGGTCCACGTTTTGGTATAGCCCCATACAATAGTAGCTCCCGATATTCGGTATTTTGATGATTTTTATGATGCAGGTCCTCATCGTCGTATTGACCCTAATATAACGGCTACATTCGGTATTTTTAAATTTTAACCGAATTTTTAACGGACTTTTTTTTTGAAAATTGCCAAATTCGTTCAAAGTGGTGGAGGGTACACAAAATTCGAATTTATAGCTTTACTTACTTGTTTACATTTTTCTCGAAAAACAAAAATTGTGAATATTTACGTTGTAGATTATTTGATTTGCAATAAAAATAGTTTCATTGACATTCTTTACAAAAGCTAGCATTGTTTGTGGGGAGGAACCAGAAGCATGGAACGATTTTCGCACCTAATCTAAATCTACACTACAGGATCACCAGATACATTTAACTCAAAACTCATGACAAATTATTTCTTTTGGGTTCTTAGTAAATTCATGAATGACTTTCATGTCCAAATGAGATTTTCCACCCCTACTGTCATTGAGCTGTTGTACCGTGTGTAATTACAATTAAATAAAATACAGTACAATTGTAGCCAAATAATTATACGTGTACCTACATGTGATTACTTTAACCTCACCCCTAGGTATAGGGTTTTATTGAAATCGAAAATGTATCTGACAAAGCTCAACCTCAAAGCCCTAAACAAAAGTAGAAAATAAAATTAAGTTATATAGCAATGAATTAGCGCATTGTATTGTCGTTATTGAATAAAATACTAAAACTTCATAACCCCCCTCCAATTGACATAATTATGACCATGGTGACCGACCATGCCACAAACAACTGCCATTATTGGAGTGTTAAAAGTTTAAAAGCCATAAAAAGGACAACAGCAAGCCACCGGAAAAGTCATTAATATCCCATTTTAGGTATTCCATTAGACAATGGGCTGACCGAATGACCAAATGTAAACTAATTAACTTCTTTGTTTTTGTTGTTGTAAATCACGACATTTTAATGGCTTGCCTATTTTCATAAGCGTACTAGGGGAGGTAGGAAAATATTTTTTTGGGGAGGCAATGGCTTTTTTCTACGAAGGTCAGAAATTTTTTTACGGCAAAGAAATTAGTTAAAACATATACATTTTCACGTAAATTTTATTAATTACACGGTACAGCAAGATTTTAGGGGAGGTGGAAAATTCATGTTAGGGATGACTGTCATTTTATGCCCTCAGCCATATGGCTATAGAGGGTATATATGTATCATCTGATACGGCCAAAACGTGCCTCATCGAAATAACGTATTAGACCCTAGGTTTCTTTGTACCAAATCCGTTTCAGGACATTTGAAGTCGATTTAGGGTTGTCTGTCTGGCTGGCTAGTGCGCTGGAAGAAATGAATCCGATTTGACCCAATCTTGGTACATTTAACATTATTGTTAAACTTAGATCGAGGGCAATATCGGTCCACTCCTTTTGGTTCCTCCCCAACAAAATATCAAAATTATCACAGAAAATAATTTACCTCGTAGAACAAGAAGGAATCATGCGATTTTCTTGAAACTTTACAAATCCTGCCTCCCTCACAAAGGATTAAAATTTTAAAAAATCTCAACGCTTATAAAACGTGAAATAAGAATTCAATCGTCTTGGATTTTCGCCTAATGCTAGGAACACAATTGGAGCGAACGACGAATTTCGCCCTACGCGGCGACAAAATGAGCCGCGAAAATTCGTCGTATGGAACACAATACCGACGAAATTATAAAACAGCTGATGAAGTTGTTTACTTTTTGCTCATTTGTTGACTACAATGAAAATTATACAAGAACTCATAAT